GAAATTCTTAAAGCGTGTACTTCAGGTAAAAAGGGAGAAAATGACTATTATAAAATACAATAGATCGTTGAAAAAAGAAAATATATAAGTATTCTTTTAAAAAGTGGATTGTATCAATTAATAATAATGTCTAATTAGTGTAGTTAACAAAAATATTTTTTCTGAAATACTGGATTTTTTATTTAAATGAGAGGAGGATAAATACTTGGATTAGAGAAGTATAAAGGAAAATGTATCAGGCAGATATGCACCAAAAGAAACCTAATATAGTTATATTAATTTCAGACAGAATAGAATTTAAGGGAAAAAAGGGGCGCCCAGGCATATCGCGCCTATGGAATCCGAACCCCGCGTACCTATTCACGGTCTTCTAGCGACCCCAGAACCAGAGGTCGCTAACGCCAAGGGCTCAGCGGTCACCGCGAAGCAGAGCGCGACGATGGCTGACCGCAGGCGACTGTTCAGGCCTACTCCGCTGACCAGGGTCGGCATGAATGGCAGGTCCTGGTAAGCGCCGTGGGTGCCGTGGGTACCGCGTGGGGGCGCCTGGAATCCGCTCTTGCCCGGGCTGGGCCGGAGCCAGGGGCCGGGCTGGGGCCGGGGCTGGGGTGGTGGGTGGCGGAGGGCCACTCGGAGCTTGGCTGCAGGCCGGCCTGCCTTTCCTCTTCAAGGTCCCCAGCACATAAATGATTATAATATAAAATAACCAGCGCTCAACGCTGTTTATCGCAAAGGACACTTTTTCCCTGTTATCCTTACAACCCCCAGGGAATGCAGATTAACATACCAATCCCAGATGGGAACCTGATGGCCACAGAGTCCTCTGTGGAGCCTGGTTTAGTGCAGGCGCACCCTTCTCAGAGGCAGCCACCTGGACCCCGGGCCCCGCGGGAGCTCGGCTGCGCCTGGAGCCGTGCGCCACCCGGGGGCGAGCTGCGCCTGGGTTTGGGGACAGCCTCGGGTCCTAGGGCGGTCCGCTGCCATTCGGAGGGCGTGGTGTCTTAGCCACCGGGCAGAAGCCAGGGCTTTTTTCCTTTGCTGATTCCTTGAGCTTGTGAGAATGGAATTCTGCGCTCTTGGGGCTGGGCGACGTGGGTAAAGATCCCCAAGTCTAGAATCGGAAAGGCTGGAGTCCAGGGCCAGAGCGCCTCTGGCTTGCAAGGCGGCCTTAGGCGAGTTCGTTGCTCCTTCTGGGCTCAGTTTTAACTGTGAAACAGAGGCAATCAGCCCTAGCCGGTTTGGCTCAGTGGATAGAGCCTCGGCCTGCAGACAATAGGGTCCCAGGTTCGATTCTGGTCAAGGGCATGTACCTGGGTTGCGGGTACATCCCCTGTGCAGGAGGCAGCTGATCTATGTTTCTCTCTCATCGATGTTTCTAACTCTCTATCCCTCTCCTTTCCTCTCTGTAAAAAAATCAATAAAATATATTAAAAAAAAATAAAACAGAGACAATCAGCACAATCAGTTGCATAGGATTGTTGTGAGGAGTAACCGATAGAGTACAGGTGAAGCAGTTACTTGAAAAATCAGACGGAGGCCTAAAACCAGGACTACAGGCTTTATTAGAGGAGAAGCACCTGCCGGGCTGTCTCGCAAGGGGAGAACAGCAACAGGTGCAGGGGTGGGCAGCCTTTTGAGGGGTGGAATGGGAAGGGGTGGGGGGCTTAGTGTACTCAGCGCACACTGATTGGTGGCTTACTGCATGGTCCATATAGGACAAGGGCTTAGGGTATTTGGCAGGTGTGGATTGGTGGTCCAATGTATAGTCCATATAAGGTACCTGGTTAGTCACTCAGGTATTTCTGGGCTGCAGGTTACGTCATACCCCGCCCACCAGTTGGGGGAAGGGAGGATCTATCATTACTGACACGCGGTATGCACTGGACACGTGGTAGCAATTATAAGCTCTTTGGGAATTCCCTTTATCGCCCATTTTCAAACTTTTTCCCTTCTTTCTTATTGACAAACCTTTTGTGTTGAAGTAATGATAGACTCACAAGAAGTTGCAAAAACAGTGCAGAGATTCCAAGTACCCTTCCCCCAGCTGCTTCTAGTGGTTCCTTCTTACATAACTATAATACAGTGGCAACGGGGGAAATCTACATTGACACAATGTATTAATTAGACTATAAACCTTACTCGGATTTTACCAGTTTTTACTTGCATTCCTGTGCGTATAGTTCTGTAAAATGTTGTCATATGTGCACATCAAGATACACAACTGTTTTCTCATCTCAAGGAATTAGTGCAGTGGTTCTCAACATTCCTAATGCCGTGACCCATTTATACAGTTCCTCATGTTGTGGGGACCCCCAACCATAAAATTATTTTCATGGCTACTTCATAACTGTAATTTTGCTACTGTTATGAATCGTAATGTAAATATCTGATATGCAGGATGTATTTTCATGGTTACAAATTGAACATAATTAAAGCATAGTGATTAATCATAAAAACAATATGTAATTATATATGTGTTTTCCGATGGTCTTAGGCGACCCCTGTGAAAGGGTCGTTTGACACCCAAAGGGTCGCGACCCACAGGTTGAGAACCGCTGAATTAGTGGTTGCAAAAGGGTTGGGGGTGGGGAAAGGAATGATGATTTAAAGGGGTAGCGCAACTAAAGGGGCTCCCTTGGCAACCATTAATTTGTTCTCCATATCTTTGATATTGTTCTTTTCAGGATGTTGATACATACGATAATATAGGTTAAACAAAATGCCAAGGTCATTCAGCTAGTTAGTGGCAAGTTGTCACTGGGATCCAGGTTTTCCCACTGCACTGTCTCCCTTTAAACCGATAGGAAGGAGCCCTGGAAGGGGCCGCCACTGTGAGTGTCCTTTACAAAGAGAATGAACAGATGGACTGTGGTGGCAGCGGCTGATAATCATGGATTAGAGTTACACATAGTGACATGAATAGGCCTTCATAATATTGGGCTGGTAAACAAATAGTACCATTTATGTAAATCAAGAATACATGCACAGGAAAGGGTAACACAGGCATTGTAAGAATGTGTACAAACAAAAGGGTGCATTACAGATCCGTTAGAGTGATTCTGCTTACGCAGGGGAGAGCGATGAGAGTGGGATACGGGGGTTACATAGAACAAGGAAAACAGGAGCGGGGCCGTACACAGACCAGTGACAACGGGCCATGAACTAGGAGTGTGATTAACTCAGCCTTCTCCCACCCGGGTCCTTGTGGTTCCATATACTGACATGTTCTCTTTCAGGTGTAAAGAGAATTTGCCTTCCCGGTTTTCCACGAAACACGAGAACAGGCAGTTACATCCCATCTTCAAGAGCACGCAACGGTGGGTGTTTGTGAAAAAGGGACTGGATGACTTCAGGTACGGCTGCCCTTCTTGTGAGAATATGATCACTCAGGGCCTTCCGGAGCATCCTGCCCCCCAGAGGTATAGCAGAGGTCCCCGGCCTCCCCCCACAAAGAGGCCGAGCTACCTGCCCACGGGCGCAGCCCTGTGTTCCAGGCTCTCGGCAGCCCAGCAGGCCCGGAAGGCATTCCTGGAGGAAATCGAAGCCCAGCTGACCCGGCATCCCCTGGCTCGCTACCCCGGCCTGGAGGAAAGCATGCCTCCGCAGGTGATCGCCTGTCCTCGGGTGTGGGAGGGCCTTCAGGAGGTGGGGGAGGGGGGACGCTAGAAAGAATTCTCCTTGGACAGCTGGGGCGTTCCCCCTGGGGGATGACAGCTTGTAAGGAGGAGAGGACGAGGAGTGTCTCCCAGGGTGAGGGTTTTCATGGGGCTTGGAGCAGCCTCCCTTCAGCAGCATTTCCCTTTGCTTCCAGTGAGGCTGCACAGCTTATCACAGTCCAGCAGCTGGGACCATGAGACTTCTTTTCCCTGGAAGGTTCTACCAGTCTACTTTGCCTGGGACTTTTGGGGGGTGGAATGTGATGGGGGTGGTGGGATTGTTCAGTCTTACTCCTGTCACTTAAACCTGGTCTTGGGAGGTGTCCGTAAGTATTTACGAACTGATAGGTATAAGGCATATGAGAACCAGAAAGGTCACAGGGAAAATTCATCAAATTGTCAGTCTAGGGGTGGGCGGCAGCTCCATAATCCTCAGCATGTGTCTCTAGTTTTTGTGTTTGTTTTTTTTAAATCTTCATTGGTTTTCATTGGATGTTGCAGATTGGCATCTTAATTTAGAAAGTCCTAAACTACCACATTAGCATTTTTTAAAGTGTATCTTTATTGTTGAAAATATTACAGTTGTCCCCTTTGTTTGTTTGTGATCCCCCCCCCATTGACCCCCTCTATCCTGCACCCACCCCTCCAGGTCTTCACCACTCTATTGTCTCTAGTTCTTGTATCTCCAAAGGCTTCCACACCACCAGGCATGTGGTCTTTCAAACAAGAAGGGGTAAGGGACAAAGGTTAAAGGTACATGCCAGCTGACTGTTTTTAAATTAGACAAATACAGTTGACCCTTGGACAGGATCAAACTGCCCAGGTCCACTTATACGGGGATTTTTCAATGAATACAGTTGGCCCTTCCTAGCGATGGGTTTCGCTTGTGCAGATTCAACCAACTGCATATAGAAAACAGTATATTCACATTCCCAACCATGGACCTAAAATACTGTTTTTGATTTGCAGTTGATTGAATCCATGGATGCTTCGGGCTGACTACAGAGTTAGACGTTCTATGTGGATTTTCGACAGTGCAGGGGTTGGCACCCCGTATCCCTGTGTTGTTCAGAGGTCAACTGTGAGAGCTTTTCCGTAAACAGCTCATTCATCCAGATGCTCGGGAGTCTAGGAAATCGAGTCTCTTGGTTGGCATTGCAGTGTTGAACACAATACGGAACAAGTGTTTTAGATTTAAAGCAAAAGAGCAGAATGGATATTGGGCGGGGAACTAGCAGTGCCTGCTCCCACCCTGCAGTCTGTTCCTACACAGCGAGCACGACAGCTGTTCAGAAAGCCCCCTAGCGGCCCCTTCTCACTCAGAGGGAAGTCCTTGGCAGTGTCTTAGGGGCCCTGTGTGTTCTGCTCTCTGCCTGCCTCTCTGCTGCTCCCCCTGCAACCTGGCCGCCTACCCCTCTGCTCTCACCGGTGCAGCCACTCCGGCCCCTGCCTGCTCTGTCTGTGAACGTTACAAACATTTCCAATTCAGATCTCTGTTCCTGTGTCTGGGACACTTGCCTCGCATGTCTGCCTAGCTCAGTGGTCGGCAAACTCATTAGTCAACAGAGCCAAATATCAACAGTACAACGACTGAAGTTTCTTTTGAGAGCCAAATTTTTTAAACTTAAACTATATAGGTAGGTACATTGTTATTAACTTAATTAGGGTACTCCTAAGCTGGCCTTTGCTAAAAATGTCCTCAATCTGAGGGGTCAACCTCAGCGAACGTACTCCCTCTTCTTCTAACGCCACTTCTTCAAAATAGACTCGCCCAGGCTGAAAACTGACTTCTGTGCATGGGCCACGAAGTTTCAATCGAACTGTACGTGTGCGTCCGCACGTGGTATTTTGTGGAAGAGCCACACTCAAGGGGCCGAAGAGCCGCATGTGGCTCGTGAGCCGCGGTTTGCCGACCACTGGCCTAGCTTACTCCCTCACTTCTTTCAGATCTTTGCTGGAATGCCTCCTACTTAGACTGTATAAAATAACATTTCCCTTCCACCCTCATGCTCTAGTCCTTACCATGACCTATTATTCAACACTAGAGGCCCAGTGCATGAATTTGTGCACCAGGGGGGTCCCTCGGCCTTAGCCTGGGATTGGGCAAAAACTGGCTCTCTGACATCCCCTGAGGGGTCCCTCATTGCGAGAGGGCTCAGGCCAGGCCAAGGGACCCCACTGGTGCATGATTGAGGCCAGGGAGGGACACGGGAGGTTGGCCAGCTGGGGAGGGACTTCAGGAGGGCTCCAGGGCGTGTCTGCCCCATCTTGCTAACCCCAGCAGTGAGCTAACCTACCGGTTGACTGTCTGGCCCCTGGTGGTCAGTGCATGTCATAGCGAGCTGTTGAGCGGCCTTAGCATATCATTAGCATATTACGCTTTGATTGGTTGAATGGCCTACCAGACAACCGGACACTTAGCATATTAGGCTTTTATTATATAGGATAGCACTTGTCCCCACTGGGCTCCTCACTAGAATAAAAGCTCTGCAGGGCAGTGACTTTGTGTCTTCTACTGTGTACTACCAATACCTGACATATGGTAGACACTAAGTAAATGTCTGTGCATACTGAATGAATGAATGAATGAATGATCCATGGCAGAGAAGTCTATAGAAAGGACACCTGGAATTTCTAACCAATTATTTTCCACCCAAGGCTTTCCTGCACTGCCTCCTGCAAGCCAGAGCTTCTGAGTCCTGGCAAACAGACTGTTTTCATATACCCTCAGATGGCTCATGGGATTGTGCCCTTATTTCCATATACCCTCAGATGGCTCATGGGATTGTGCCCTTATTTCCATGTTTGACTTCCCAACTAGGTGTGTTGGCTTTTTTTTTTTTTGAGGCCAGATCTCTTTTTATGGTGCTGTGATGACCATCAGCAGCTCTAGATTTAAATTCTACCCAGAAAAAAAGAGTATTTATTTTTGCACAGGCTCAGCAAAATTCCATATCTTAATTCCTGTGGGTCCAACTTGGGTTATGTGCCCGTTAAAACCAGTGTGGGTTAGTCCAGATGGGATTGGCCTGCCTGTGAAGTGAGAATGGGGTCAGGCCAGTTCAGACCATTCGATCTGAGAGTGGAAAGAGAGATGGATCTCCAAAGAAAAATCGAGATACTGTCATTCGTAGGAGGAAGAATGGATGCTGGACAGTCAAAAAACACAGACATTCTTTAGAAATACTCAGAGGGGCAGATGGGGACCTGGGCAGACCACTCCACCTAGAGGCGATGGAATTTTGGTCTACGGACTGCCTACCTAATGTCTAGGGCCATGGTCGGCAAACTGCGGCTCGAGAGCCACATGCGGCTTTTTGGCCCCTTGAGTGTGGCTCGTCCTAAGCCTTAGGAGTACTCTAATTAAGTTAATAACAATGTACCTACCTATATAGTTTAAGTTTAAAAAATTTGGCTCTCAAAAGAAATTTCAATCGTCGTACTGTTGATATTTGGCTCTGTTGACTAATGAGTTTGCCGACACTGAGCTAGGGGATGGAGGTTCACCTAGCACCCAGCACAGGATCTGCACCCAAACCAGGGAGTGCTTTGACTGATTAGAAAGGAAAAGCAAAGGGCCCCCGTTCTCAGCACATTTTTCTTTCCACCAAAACTGTTTTCTGTGTGTAGCTCTTAAAAAGGGTGCTGCAAGTGCTGGATCCTGACAAGAAACTGGAGGACGCGTGGGCTCATTGTGAGGGTGTTGAGAAAAAAACCAAGGAACCCACAAAACTGCTTGAAAAACGTCCCACCCGAGCCTCCCTGGGGCCGTAAGTATTGTTCTAACCCCTCGCCTATTCCTGTCACCTGATGAAGCATTCTAGGAGTGTCCTTCTCAAAGCTCCTCATTTTTAGAATCATTTAGAGAAGCAAAAGTAACTAAGTTGCCAAGAATGAGGGAAAGGAGCCTTGAGTCCTGCTCTAAACAGTGGTTTTTTATTGAATGGATGTTAATTAGCCAGCAATGGAGCAAACACCAGCGTGTCCACATGACTCGGTGAGAGCTGCTGGAGAAGAGATACACTGCAGACAGCCTGATTAATTGGCCCAAAATGGCTCATTGAGTTATTTATGGCAGAAGCCCTTTTAGTCACATGATTGGGACCAATAGTTAATTGGATAGCCACCCCTCCCCCCCCCCAAAAAAAAGTTAATATAGATGACACTTAAGTACTTAAAGCACCTTATTTTACCCCAGAAGAGTGGTTCTCAACCTTCCTAATGCCGCGACCCTTTAATACAGTTCCTCATGTTGTGGTGATCCCCAACCATAAAATTATTTTCGTTGCTACTTCATAACTGTAGTTTTGCTGCTGTTATGAATCGTAATGTAAATATCTGATATGCAGGATGTATTTAGGTGACCCTGTGAAAGGGTCATTCGACCCCCAAAGGGGCCGCGATCCACAGGTTGAGAACCGCTGCCCTAGAACATAACTGCATTCACAGTATAAAGCCTTTTTTTGAGTATGGGTCTACTGCTTGGATTTCCAAGTCATCTTTTTTTTGCATAAATCGCAGCAGTAATGACACCTTCATTGAATCTTTCTAAAGCACCGAGCTTAATTTCCATAGAAACAACTCTTGTTTTCCCAACTCATGTCATATTTAGTTAAAAATGTAAATGCAATGAAATATGTATACTTGACATAAGTAGATGTGGGATATGCATTTGACTTTTGAAATTAACTGGTGTCACTTGCAGGCACTTGCAGGTGTCCTAGGGAGAAGCCCATCCACGGCACCCAGACCACCGACAGGGCCCAGAACCATGGTCAGGGTGTTCGGAAGGGACATGTAGAGCTTTGCTAGTTGCACAAGTTACCTACCTGGAGTGAGAGAAAATGCACTGTATTAAATTACACATGTTTGTGAGCGTGAGACACAAGGTGACCGGAACTCTACTGTTCTGGCCCCTGAGTGTACCCCCTGGTAAATCTGGGGAGAACAACTGAGGACACTCATCTCAGCTCTGCCCTTTCACTGGGAAGCAAGTTCTCCTCTGTTTCTTCCTTCTTGAGGGAATCCCCCTGCTCAGGCCAGGATTGGACAGTCTACCCATTTCTGGGTTTCAGTGAGCAAGTCCCCTTGGACCTAAACCCATGTCTTCCAATGTGGCTGCTGTCAGTAAGAATTTGTATTATTTTTCAAGTTGCTCAGATCCTGGGTGGGGAAGAGGGAGCAGCGTTATGTGAAGGGAGCCCCTTGGAGACTCCAACCTTGGGTCGGTGTGGCCCTGGGAGCATCTTTAAATTCTTGGCCCTCAGTGAGCCTTTCGCTAGTTGTTATGGTCTGTAAATTTATCTCAATTCCTAAAAAGAAGCCATTGACGAGGGTATAAGCAAGGATGAAGAGTGGCTGATTATGATCAGATTTATATTTTGAAATGACTATTCTGGCTGCAGTTTAGAGAATGGTTTAGGGATTAAGGGTTGGGGATCCTAAGAGAAGATTCAGAGACACCAGTGAGGAGCCTTTTGCAGGAGTCCAGAGAAGACAGAACTAAAATCCATCAGACTTATTAATAGGTTAGATTTTAGGGATGAGGGAGAGAGGGGTCAAGGATGTTTCCTACTTGTCAAGATTGTCTGAGGCCATGGCAGACTCCAAGCATAGCAATTTACGCTTTTACCTGGCACATGTCTTAGTACTGGTACTCATCATCTTAAAAATCACCTTATAATGGTAAAATTATAACTAATCATGTCATTCTCTTTATGTTATTGATAATAGGAATGGAATCTTTGAAAAATTTAAATAGTATGAGCTTGCAAGAAACTGTTGGAAATACTTGTTTTATGATCTGCTTTCCTCCATGATACCTTTTGAAATCCATTTGGATTCATGGTGGCTCATATTGTAGTGATCATATTTGATGATCCCATTGTCTTTAGTCCCAAGAAGACTCCTCTGTCGAAGAAGCCACGCCAATCGCTTTCTGAAGAGAAGCCCAGTGCAAAGGATTCGCTCCACAAAGATGGTCCTAATCCTTATGAAAACGTCCACAAATCAGTGAGAGACTTCTGTGACTGGGCTGCTTCGATGGTACGTTAGTAGTAATACTTACAACTTTTAAAGTCACATTCAAAGTTACTTTTATTAAAAAACAGTGTTTGGCTATCATGTACGTCAAACAAAGTCATAAAGGAACCTTTATGACTCTCCCACCACTTATCATAGAAGTGTTTTCTACAGGTGACAAGCCTGGTGTTCAGTCCCTTATGACCAAGGCCTCATCTTTACCTCAGTTATGCTCCCTCGGGCCCCATCACATCACCTGTGGTGTTTTCTCCGTAGCATTAGCTTATACTTTCCTTCCGTGCGTTATTGTTTACCTCACTGACTCTGCTTGCTATATTTCTGCTTCATCATTATTTCACCCTGGTTTCGATGCTACTCCTCCCTTTATGTTCCTGACTCTATTTCATGGCTCCTCTCTATGAATGTCACCCCAACATCAGCTTCAGTTGCTAATGGCCTCATTCTCTCTGTGCTCCCCAATTTATGTTTTCTAAAGTGGGATTGTGTTGAGTCTGTAGAGGAGGAAAATATAACTTTCCTTTTAGTCTTCTAAGTTCTCTCTGGGGCTCCTATAACAAAATTCAGATTAACAAGAGAGAAATAAGCAGAAGTTAATTAACATGTATACATCATATATACATGGGCAATACCCAAGGAAAAATGAGTAACTCTCCCAGGTGGCTTAGAATTCAGGCCCTTAGAATACCATCTTCAGCACAAGACAAAAGAAAGAAGTGTGTGGGGAGCCAGTTATAAGGAGATGACCAGGAAAAGTAGGTAAACTAGAGTAAGGTTTGCTATGCAGACTTAAGTATGTGCCTTCTCCATTGATAAGCGTTTCTTATGATTTAGAGTCTTCCTTCTCTTCCTGGTACAGAGAGTGAGACACCCTTACAACTGGAGATTTCCCTATAAATGTAAATTTCTCTTACAAAAGGGTAACTTCTTATCCTGTTTCCAGTGCTTTTCCTGTTTGTCTGCTGAGTCTCAAGACCATCAACTCAAAATAGTTCTTATGCCAGAGGCATATTTTGGAGTGGCATGTTCTGCTGCCCTTCAAATCTAAGCTATTTTTTAGCCACATCATAGGTCAAGGGTCAGCCTACCGATTAGCTACTCTTTATGTACCCATCTCCACTCCCACTGGCTGTGGCCCAGAGAAGGCAGCAGAAGGGGTTGTTCTGTGCACAAAATATGGGTGACTAAAAACACCTTCTTCAACGGGAGCCCTGATGGGGCAGCTTCCCTTATGAGGGTCTGCGAGCAGAACATACACTTTTCTAGACATGCCTGGAGAATACCTCTAGGGATGTCACTGCTCTAAAGGATTGGAGAAATTTCTTTGGTCAAACAGACTGACTTTTCCCCAGGCCCATTCATTCCCTCAGGGACTCACTGCTTCTTGCAGGTCCTAAATTCTCTCTTAAGGCAAAGTCCTCCAGGCCCCAAATACAGTTGACCTCCTTGAACAAGATGGTTTGAACTGTGCTGGCCCATTTATACCCAGATTTAAAATAAATAAATGCCCATACTGTTTTCTAGCCATGGTTGGGAGTCCAGGTGTGGAGGGCTGACTTACACCATTTTATAGAAGGGACTTGAGCATGGCAGGGGGTGGGATAGGCTGGGGAGTTGTGGGGTGTGTGAGGGGTGTGGTGGGAAGGTCCTAGAACCAACCCTCCTCCCCTCCCTGCAAATATCAAGGGTAGTTAGGTTTTTGGGGAGTCAGGAGCTATATAGGATTTTCAATTGTGCTGGAGGTCAGCCCCCCTAAGCCCCCTTCCCTGTTGTTCAAGGGTCAACTATACTTCTTGTCTTCACTGAATGCTGACTGAGCATTTTCTCCTTCTCCAAACTACCTCTTCTCCAGCCATGGTCAAATGACTCCCTTAGATTAAAGAAGAAAGCAAGGAGCATTTCGCCATCTGTCCTTGACTTGTGCAATGTGATATTCTTCCAGGGAAGCTCGGGGATTGATGAAGAGTACATCATGAAGCAATTTGACATTAACTGTGAGAGGGGAGTCAGCCATAATACGCTCCGCCCGATGAAGCTCGGCGAGATTCCTGGGGAACTAAAGAAGGGAGACGGGCTCAGGAAACAGCAGGAGTCAGAATTTTTCCAGGAACTAGAGCCAGAACCTAAGGTAATTACAACAGGGGAGAAGACTGAAAATCAAATTTAAAGTTTTATTAAAATCTCAAATTCTGGTACTATAAGGGGCACCCGTCTTTTTCAGTCGAATTCTTGAAATTTTTTAATGTTTAATAAATATTTGTTAAGTGAGTGAATATTTAATACATATAACAAAGTCATTTATACAATCAAGGCATGTCAATTGGCATTATTGTTCATATCTGAAGAGTCTTTAGTATTCTATGTGTTTTCTAGGTTGAGATAATCTCTTTATGTGTTTTATATGTTCAAATCCTGTCAGTGGAAATATATATGAATGTTTATTATTGCAACAGTAAAATGCTGCAGTTAATGACCATGAACACTGTTCATTTTATGTCCAAAGAATTCTTGAGTTTTTAGGGGAGTCTAACTGACCACACACCATCATTCCTGATCACGTGCTTGCCTGATCATTAATAACTTGCTCAGTTTCCCAATACCAATTTCCTGTGAAGGTAGAACAAGGTAATAGAGAGGGGAAATAACACACTACGTTCCAAAGGGAAGTATTGTGGGCCCCTAAGCGCTTTTCCACTTTTTTACACAATGTGTTAGTGCAAATATACACACAAGTCAAATGTGCCAATCCAACAAAGACTTGAGTGCCTAAATGGGAGTTGGGGTGGGGAGATAGTTCCTTTCTCTAAAAGTGAAAAACTATATATTATCTTTAGCTACTCTCTGTATTTTACACATCATTTTTTATACTATATTTCCAACATTTTGGACATATTAACCTTGTCCTTTACAATCTAACACAATTGACTGACCTATTTTTACATACATGATGTTTTCTATCCCTAACTCTATTGCATAAGGTTTATGAAAACTATGCAGTCCATCACTGATATAAACTCTTTAAATTATTCCATTTTCCTCTCATCTTTCTAAAGGGTAAAATGCAAACTTGCTGGAAAAATTATGTTCATCACACCTGCGGCCTGAACCCCTGCTGATCCTGAATCTGGGCTGAATGAAATTGCTCAATTCCTTGTACTTATAAATAATTGCACAAACTCTTCTTTATAAACCACGGTGGTTATTGCCAAAATTAAACTTTTGACTGGCAGATGGAGGGTCACTGTGCAAAAGTTCAAAATCTATTTCCACATGGTCCTGCTGGTGGTGAATTCTTTCAGCGTTCGTTTGTCTGAAAACAGCCTTAGTCTGCCTAGGTTTTTCAAGAGCTTTTTGTTGTTATATAATTCTCGGTTCCCAGTGTTTGGTTTGCTGGTTTGTTTTCAGAACTTTAAAGATGTCGCTTCACTGTCTTCTTGCTTGAGTTGTTTCCAGTGAGAAATCATCTGTCACCCTTACCTTTGTTTCTCTGGATATGTTTTATTCCTTGGCTGCTTTTAACATTTTCTCTTTGTTACTGTTTTTGAGTAATGTGATCTTTATATACCTTGGTGTATATTTCTTGTAGTTGGGGTTTGCTGAGTCTCTTTGATCCAGGGGTTTATAGTTTTCATCAATTTTGTAAAAAGTTTTACTGTTATTTCTTAAAAAAACAGTTTTTGGTCTCTCAACCCAACTCCCAGTGAAGCATCCATCTTATATAAAAACTGCTGTTTGAAATTTTAACCCTGCTATTTCTGGCTTCTATAAATGCTTGCTGGCTTAAATAATAAGGAAAATAAGACTACTCCCATTTCAGAGAGGCCATTAAACCTTCTCCAGACGAAGTTATCAGTGCTGGTGTCAGGCCAAGCCTTTGGTTGAGATCTCAAAGCCCCAGCACATAGGGCCCTTTAAGAACTTGCAAAGGGAACCGGAAAAAACCCCATATTTGGGAGACAAAGAAGGTAAAATGGTATAAATACAGGAAGCTTCCTGTGTGATTTCACCCAGAATTTGAGAGACATTTTCCTCTGGGCCCGCACATAATAATAATAAAGGTAACTCCATCTCTCTAAGCATTGCTTGGTTCTTCTCTGGTTTTCTGTAACACCAGGACTGTAATTACATGTTGTTAGACTGCATAAAGTTGTCTCATAGCTCATTGCCGCTCTGTTCAGTTTTTTATTATCTTTTCTCTCTGTTTCTATTGTTATATTTTTTAATTCTCTAATGTTTTTCCCTCCTGCTATGTCCAACCTGCTGTTAATCCTAGCCAATGTATTTTTCATCTCATACATTATAATTGTTATCTTAAGAAGTTCAACTTGGGTTTAAAAAAATATATATATCTTCTGGCCTAGCCAGTGTGGCTCAGTGGTTGAGTGTTGACCTATGAACCAGGAGGTCACAATTCAATTCTCGGTCAGGGCACATGAGGCAGCCAATCACTGATTCTCTCATCATCGATGATGTTTTTCTCTCTCTCTTCCTCTCCCTCTCACTTCCTCTCTGAAATCAATAAAAATATATATATATTTTTTTCCCTTTATTCCTTTATTGTGAATACAGTAATCCATTTCATCTTAAAGATGCTATAAACGTTACTAGCCATGTGGGAGGGGAACCCACCTAGTCATGATTATCTTGATCATTCATAGTCAGTGGTACTTGGAAGTGAGTGGAGCAGGGACAGGGCAGGGACACCCAGGGATGGCTGGGAAGCCCTCGGTACCTGCTGCTCTGGTCTGTGGCCACAGGGTGAGAAGACTGGGACAGTGTTCTGGCTGGTGGGCAGCTGAGGAGCAGTGACAAGAGTGTTGGACTTGGTGTCAAAAGGAATAAAAATATATTTTAAAAAATAAAAAAATATATATCTTCTGTGTCTCTACCTAATCTTTTGAGCTTACAGAATTATAATTCTTTTAATGTTCTTGTCTGCTAATTCTAACATATTTATTGGTTCTGTGTGAGTTGCTATTAAAGATGTCGCTTCACTGTCTTCTTGGTTGAGTTGTTTCCAATGAGAAATCTTCTGTCATCCTTATCTTTGTTTTTTCTGCATATGTTTTACTCCTTGATTTATTTCCTCGTTGTGGATTATGTTTTCTTGCCTCTCCACATGCCTGGTGATATTTGAGTAGATGAATTTTATCTTTTTGGGTGCTGGGCATTTTTGTGTTCTTATAAACTTAAGTTTTGTCTTAGGGCAGCGGTTCTCAACCTGTGGGTCGCAACCCCTTTGGGGGTCGAACGACCCTTTCACAGGGGTCGCCTAAGACCATCGGAAAACACATATATAATTACATATTGCTTTTGTGATTAATCACTATGCTTTAATTATGTTCAATTTGTAACAATAAAATTGGGGGTCACCACAACATGGGGAACTATATTAAAGGGTCGCGGCATTAGGAAGGTTGAGAACCACTGTCTTAGGGTATAGTTAAAGTTATTTGGAAAAGTTTGATCCTTTGGGTCTTGCTTTTAAGATCTGTTGTGAAGGATCAAAGTAATGTTCAGTCCACGGCTGATTCCCTACTGCTGAGGCGGGACCCAGTGTATTCTACCCAGTGTCCTGTGAATCCTTAGGTTCTCAGGAGGCAGTGGGCACTGCCCCTGCCCCATGCGTGCTGGGCACTGTTCTCTCTAATCCTTTGGTTGCTTTCTTCCCGGACCTCTGGTAATTTCCTCCCACACATGCACAGAGAGATACTCTGTGCAAACCTCTGGAATTCCCTTTCTTTGCAGTCTGGACTGCAAATGGTAGCTGCCTTCATCTTCCTGGATTTTCAGTGCTGTCTCCTCAACTCGAAGTCCACTGGGCTCCTCCTGGGCTCTCCCTGCACTGTGGCCTGCAAACTATCCAGGCAGTGAGCCGTGTCAATTGTGGGGTTTATCTTGTTCGTTTCCTGTCTCTCAGGGATCATGGTGTTTTGTTATTTGATGTCCAGTGTCGTAAACACATTTTTAAAAAAATATTGTGTTGGTTGTGTGTGTGTGTGTGTGTTTGTTTTTTTGTTTGTTGCAGGTGGGAAGGCAAATCTGTTTACCCTGTTTCAGATGGAAGTCCCCACGTGTATTTTTTTTACCCCATGTTCTCTCAGGCGTGCGGTACTCTTTTCTTTGGTGTTCTTTAAGACTCTGAGCTTTCCCACTACCTTACCTCTGCTCACAATATTCTCTCTGCCTGAACTACCCTCTTCCAATGTCTACATGCTTGTATCTCTCTTTAGGCACAGTTTACATGACAATTTGTTCCATGGGTTTTCTCCTGGTCCTTTGATTGACATTAATTTATTCTTACTGCTAATCTCTCACAGCCATCTGTGCCTCATATGTGCCTCTATGAATGAATTACCCTAGTATATTCATTCATCCATTTGTTTATACATTCATTCAAAAAATAATTCTTAGCATCTATTACTATGTGCCAAAAAGTGCTGGGAGCAAATGAAGGACTATCTCCTGCACTTAAGGAGCTTTGAGTCCAGTAGGATCAACAGGTAAATGATTAACTACAGTGAAATGATGTCATGGTTTGTACAGGACAGAAGAAGTAATCAATTTCACCAAGCACAGTTAAGGCGTCATAGAAGATACCATGCTTGTGCTGAGTCTTGAAAGAAGACCAGTCACCCAAGAACATAACATAGTGTAGATTCAATAATTCTTCCTTCCCTTTTCCCTCTCTTTCCTTCCCTCCTTCCTTTAATTCAGTGGATCTCAACCAAGGGTGACTTTGCCCCCCAATCCCGGGATATTTGGCAATGTCTGGAGATGACATTTTTGGTTATCCCAATTTGGGGGGTGCTACAAAGAATTATCCAGCTCAAAATATCAATAATGCCCAAATTAAGGAATCGGGCTTTAATTCAACAATTACTTATTGAGCACCTATTGTATCCTAAGTATTGTTCTAGATGCCAGGGGGATGTAGCAGGGAACAATCTCAAAAGCTTGCATTTTAGAGGGTGAAAGGAGAGATAAACAATCAGAAAAATATATAGCATTTCAAATGGTGATAAGTGCTATTGAGAAACATGAGTCAGGGAAAGAAGACAGGACTATTGTGAGGTGGTTATAATTTTTAAACTGGGTGGTCAGGAAGTATACTACTGAGAAGATCGCATGAAATAGGTAAGGGAGTAAGTCGTGTGGGTGTGTTGAGTAAAAAGCATTATGGCAGAAGGAATAGTGCGTGCAAAGGCCCTGAGGCAAAAGCATGAAGGGAGTGCTCTAGAAACAGCCAGAAGGTTCGTATGCTTGGAACGGAGGGATCACAATGCTAATGTAGATCTGAGGAGAGGGATTTCCCTCCCTCTGTCCTGTTCCATCCTCTCTGCTTTAGACAGGTGCATCTGGCTGGACCCTTGATGCCTGACACATTCCACCTCATAGTTTAAATATGAGTGAGGCCGAAACCGGTTTGGCTCAGTGGATAGAGCGTCGGCCTGCGGACTGAAAGGTCCCGGGTTCGATCCCGGTCAAGGGCATGTACCTTGGTTGCGAGCACATCCTCAGTAGGAGATGTGCAGGAGGCAGCTGATTGATGTTTCTCTCATCGAGGTTTCTAACTCTCTATCTCTCTCCCTTCCTCTCTGTAAAAAGTCAATAAAATATATTAAAAAATAAAAATAAATATGAGTGAGAAGAGAGAAGGGCCGGATCTTTGTGTTTCTTGTATCTTTGTCGCTCCCAAGCATTAGACCCCGCCTCCCCTTTGTGATGAGACAATATGTGGTTATTGTATCCATAGTATCCATAATATCCAGCAGGAACCAACAGATGCACTACTGAGAAATGGGAGAAAGAAAGGAATGGCATCTAGTTGTTTTCCTCTTTCTTCTTTTTTTAAAAAATATGTTTTTATTTATATCAAAGAGAGAAGAAGGGAGAGGGAGAGGGAGAGAGAGACATTGATGTGAGAGAGAAACATTGATCAGTTGCCTGCTGTGTGCACCCAACTGGGGATCCAACCTGAAACCTGGGCATGTGCCTGACCGGGAATCGGGACAATGCTCAACCAACTGAGCCACAATGGCCAGGGCCCTCCTTTTTCTTCTAATTAAAGAGGCAAGAGATGGGTGTTGGATAGCATTTTTACAAGGCTGAGCACAGTGTTGGGCTAGTAACTTATCATTTTGGTTGACTGAAGGTTGTTTAAAGTCATTACCCTTTGGTGAAATATGTGATTTTTACATGATTTCTAGCTGCTTTATATAATTCTCTCCTTTGATCTTCCCAACAACCCTATGTGTGGGTACTGCTATCTTAGTTTACAGATGAAGAATTTAAGTAACTTGCCCGGCGACTTTAATATCTGCTAAGTGGAGGAAGTTGGATTTGAAACCAGATATCTCTAAATCCAAAGACCATGCTTAACCACCACATTATTTTCTCAATCTCAAACTCTTCATGTTACCTTTGTAAATCAAAGCATACTGAAGCTTCATAAAATACTTTGGCAAGGATAAATCATAAATTCAAAATAAATTCAAAATTGCTTTCATAAGCTAAATTTTTATAAAAATGACCCCCCCCAAAAAAACACACAAAAACACCAAAAACAAAAAACACACAACAAAACAACAACGAATGAAACTGGGAATTATGTTATTTTCCATAGAATACTTCTAAACCAAAGCACGTGAAGATGCAGTATGGATCCTGGTATCTGCACCCAAAACTGTGGAAAAGACAAAGAGCAGATGAACCTTTGATTGACCCCAAGGCCTTACACAAAGATGAGAATTTAAGAAAGGAGCAGAAGAAACAGGTATGTGTGTATGCTGTGGATCATCTGAACTAAACGTTATCAGTGCAACTACACCCTCATATTGCAGGTGGAGTCTCTGATTAATGCAGAGGCTTCTGAAAGTCTCATAGCTTATATAGGGAATCCAGCAATGAGACTGCCAAGTCATTAGATAGGGAATGTCTAATAAGCAAGACTGGAAATTTCCTGGCTTCATGGTGGACAAGAATATCGCCAAAGATGGGGCAACTACTCACTGTACTTCTACCATGCTTGGTCCAGGGTTCATGGATACTTTGGCTGTCCACAGGGTGTTGTGACCAGGTAGGACCACCTCAGTACTCAGAATGGATATAATGTCACGGGTTCTCTTTGAGTAACACAATGTGAGGTCTATTTTTTAAAAAAAATTTTTTATCCGTAGTGAATGAATATTAAAGAATTTCAAAATTGCAATCAGGAAACTTCTTTTATGCAATTCAGCAGAGTTGCAGGAGCTGAGAGGAGAGGGATAAAGGCTGATATCACAAACAACAAAAATGTGCTCTAATTCTACTACAAATAAACTCTGCCTGCTGATCTCTTGTGTACAGGTATCTAATGGAAAGAAGATCCTCATTGCAGTCCTGAAAACGTGGAGATGGTGACACAACACTTGTGCAGGACTCCAATGAGAATACGTGTGAAACACTTCCCTTTTTCAATAGACCCCACACTTCTCCCAGATCTCAATGTGAAAACACTTTGAAAAAGTAAAATGCGATACAAATTTGGCTACTCATTCATTCATAAATCACTCATCAGCTGCCTCCTTTAGATTGGAGGAAGGATGGTCATTTTAATATTTTCTAGTACTGGGCATGAAATTCTTATTTTGAGATGTGAGATAATAATGTAAATAATATACAGCACTATTTCTTGGTGTATGTTTTTGGAGCTGCCTATCTAAATTTATGTGAATTTAATACATAACATAAAACTATTTCATTTGCATTTTTAAAATATAACAAACCATTCTCAAATATTTTAAAAGAAAAATAGTTACAAGATTTTCTGTTTAAAGTATCTAGAAGTTCTCTTTTTAGAAATATATTCTTAAAGACTAAATGTTAAAAACAAATAATTTTCCAAAAATAGTTTATTTTGACAGCAAAATCTAATAAAAGAAGTAATATATAAATTTTGGAAATATGGCTGATAGAACGATTACAGTAAAAGATGGTTTATCAGACAGTTTAGACACAAAAATGATTTAAAGCAACAGAGTCGTTCTATAATGATTTTTATAAGTCACAATTTTGTAATACCTGAAGATTGATTTACCTGTGTACCTGTGAATTGGGGGGCCACTTGGCTATGGCACCCCAATTCACAAGACACAGGTGCAGGGTTGTGCTAGTAAGAGACAGTCACTATGATGACATTGCTGTCTTTCTGGTAACATGAGTCTTGACTGCTACTGATTTTGTTTGGAAGGTGAAATGGTCTTAAAGAACTGAATTATAATGATATAATCTTACATATCCAATTTTTAAATTCAGATAAATGAAAGGAAAAACCAAATGAATGCATGAATACTCCAAAGATACTGGGACTGGATCAAGTCTTTTTTGATAACCATGCCTTTTGGAGTTAAGATCTAAAAATTGTGAATATACTGTTGAATAAGAAAAACACTTCTGTTTCTTCCTCTACCACTCTCAACTCTAGTCACCACATGTGTTAGGTTCCCCCCCTCCCACACACACACCAAGAAATTCTCTGATTCCCTGAACATCAGCTGGGTGTCCTACAATTTAATGTAATATTGACATTATCTATCTGAAGATAAAGTCAGATCTCACAAGTTAAGGGCTCAGTCCCATGAGACTGCCTTCATTTCAGATGTGCTTCTGACCAATTGGCTAAATACATCGCAGGTTCCCACAGCCCCCTCCTCAGAGTCGATCATCTGCTAGAGCAGCTCACAGAACTCAGGAAAACAGTTTATGTATCAGATTACCATCTATATATATAAAAGGCTGTGTATATATATAGTTCCCTTTTACTTTGGTCCCATTAAGGCCAACCCCAAGGCAGGTGCATCATCAGCAGGGAGACAACACATCTGACAGCAGAAACCAAACTGGCAGAATAAAAAGAGAAAATGCCAAATCCTATCTCTTGGCTCCTGTCTGAGGAAAAGCATCTTAGCTCTTTCTTCCAGGGGCCTGAGTCCTGGTGTTTTGATTTTGTCAGGGTGCTGAAGCCTTCCCATGAACAACTGAGCCCCTCAGCAGGTCTTGTGAATGTAGCCTACACACCTGAGGTATTTTATAAAGAGTCAAATGATTCTAATTAGTCAAAGTGTCTCCTCAGGAGTTCAACCAGGAGAATGGGAGTTCGATCGCTTGCTATGATGTGCACTGACCACCAGGGGGAGGTGCAGAACATGGTGGGCGACCAGCACCTGTGGCGGGGTGCACAGGTGGCAAGGGGAAAGGAGGCAGGGAGGCAGGGAACCATGTGGTGGCAGTGAGGGAAGAAGGAGGCAGGGAAGCAGGGAACCATATGGTGGCAGCGAGGGAAGGAGGAGGCAGGGAGGTGGGGGGAACTTCGCAGTGGTGGTGTGCGGGCGGGGACACGGGGAACCTGATTGGCCCTGATCGCTGGCCAGGCCTAGGGACCCTACCCGTGCATGAATTTCGTGCACCAGGCCTCTAGTCTACACTAATAAAAGACAAAGATGCTAACTGACCATACCTTCACTACACCCCAAGCCACGCCAATCAGAGCGACTATATGCAAATTAACCCAACCAAGATGGCAGCCGGCAGCCACCAAGCTGGAGCAAGCAGGAGGCTTGGTTGCCAGGGCAATGGAGGAAGCCAAGCTTCTCGCCTGCCCTGAGCCGGCTGTGGCCTCCACTCATGGAAACAAAGTTTTAATTATAGAAGATAAATAAATCCCAGATACCTGCTTCCAGCCAGCCTCCACTGGGAGCTTGGGTGGCTGGGGGGCTTGGCCAGCCTGCAAACTGCCATCAGCCACTCACCCAGACTGGCCAGGCACTCCAGCAGGACCCTCCCACCCTGAAGGGAGTGTGGCCAGCCTGAAAACGGCCCTTAGCTCCTCACCCAGGCTGGACAGGCACCCCAGTGGGGACCCCCACACTGAAGGTGCTGTGGCCAGCCTGCAAACAGCCATCAGCCACTCACCCAGGCTGGTCAGGCACCCCAGGGGAGCCCCTACCCTGAAGGGGCTGTGGCCAGCCTGCAAATAGCCATCAGCCCCTCACTCAGGATGGCCAGGCACTCCTATATAATAAAAGGGTAATATGCAAATTGACCCTAACAGCAGAATGACTGGGAATGACTGTTCACTATGACACACACTGACCACCAGAGGGCAGATGCTCAATGCAGGAGCTGCCCCCTGGTGGTCAGTGCGCTCCCACAGGGGGAGCTCTGCTCAGTCACAAGCCAGGCTGATGGCTGCCAGTACAGCGGTGGTGGTGGGAGCCTCTCCCGCCTCCTCAGCAATGCTAAGGATGTCTGACTGCAGCTTAGGCCTGCTCTCCGCTGGCAAGTGGATATCCCCCAAGAGCTCCCGGGCTGCCAGAGGGATGTCTGACTGCCAGCTTAGGCCAAATTCCCTAGGGAGCGGGCCTAAGCCAGCAGGTGGTCATTCCCCGAGGGGTCCCAGACTGCGAGAGGGCACAGGCCGGGCTGAGAGGACACCCTCCCCCCCCTTCCCCCCCCGCCGAGTGCACAAATTTTTGTGCACCGGGCCTCTAGTTTTATTATAAAAGGGCACACTCAGGAGCAGCCACATGGAAGAGATACATAGGACAAGGGATGTAGGAAGGGGCGGGCATGGAACTTCTATGCCCTCTCTACGTGTGTCACACACCTAGAACCTCCACATGGTTACCAACCTGGAAGCTCTCTCAACCTCATCCTTCTGGGGTTTTATTGAGGTTTCATTACACAGGCATGATTGATGGTTGGCCATTGGGAGGTGGAGCTGAACGTGTCAACCCTCTCTTCACATGGCTGGTTCTTCTGGCAACCAGCCCCCTTCATGGGACTACCTATGGGCTCACCAAAAGTCACCTCAGGAATATAAACTCCCCTGTATCGAAAGGGGTTTGTTATGAATAACAAAAGGCTCTCCTTTAACCTTTGTGGCTCTTATCACTTGATAAATCCAAGGGATTTTGGGGGGCTTTCTGCCAGTTATAAGAAGAAAAGCAAATATATATTTAAATTAAATTTATTGGGGTGAAATTAGTTAATAAAATTTTATAGGTTTCAAAATATAATTCTATAATACATAATCTTTTATTGCATTGTGTTTACTACCCAAAGTCAAGTCTCCTTCCACCACCATATATTTGACCCCTGTTGTCTGTTCTATGAATTTTTGTTTGTTTTCTCATGTTTATTCACTTGTTGTTTTCAGTTTTATATCCCACATATGAGTGAAATCATATGGTTCATGACTTTTTCTTTCTGGCTTATTTCATTTAGCATGATATACTGAAGATATATCCATGTTGTCCCAAATGGCAGTATTTCATCTTTTCTTATGGCTGAGTAGCATCCCATTGTATATGTACCACATCTTCCTTATCCAATCATTTATTGGTTGTTTCCATGTCTTGGTCACTGTGAATAATGCTGCATTGAACATAGGGCTACATATATCTTTGTGAATAATGTAAACCATAGTATCACAATTGTTATTCTTAAGTTGGTTAGATTCCAGACAGTTTAGGTCAATAATTGTCTAACTGCTAAAATGTATGAGTTATCCTTAATATAAGGGTTAGAAAAGGGGTAGGGAAAGGAGAGAAAGTTGTACATCTTTTGAAAGCCTTTGTATTCTTTAACTTGTGAATGTAACCTACACACCTGAGGTATTTTATAAAGAGTCAGATGCTTCTAATTAGGACAAGTATGAAATCAAGCTTCTGACTGCTGGTTGTTCATTTAAAATGTGAACTTTCTTTTAGGAGGAGGAGTTTGCAAAACTTCATGGACCAGCTGCCTTTAAGGATTTCATTCTAAGGAAGGGCCACAGGATGCCAAGTGTGAGTAAAGGGTCATTTCAGAAAGACCTGCTGAGGGGCTCAGTTGTTCATGGGAAGGCTTCAGCACCCTGACAGAATCAAAACACCAGGACGCAGGCCCCTGGAAGAAAGAGCTAAGATGCTTTTCCTCAGACAGGAGCCAAGAGATAGGATTTGGCATTTTCTCTTTTTCTTCTGCCAGTTTGGTTTCTGCTGTCAGATGTGTTGTCTCCCTGCTGATGCACCTGCCTTGGGGTTGGCCTTAATGGGACCAAAGTAAAGGAACTATGCACAGGGCATGCGCCATGCAAACTCTGGCTGCTACTAAAACACTGAATTCTCTAGGAAGTGTTTAAGTTTCCTTTGCTTCTTTGCTTCCATATCTAAGGACAAAGAGCTGTGGCTTGTATCAGGACAAAATGGGGTTGGCATTGACAATATCACATTGTCGGCCTCACGTGGAAACAGACCAGAGCAAAAATTCACTTCCTGGGGCCCACCAAGGTCTTCTGTCTCTTCCCCTTTTTCTCTTTTGCCTAGTGTCTAGTTTCCCCTCCCTTAACTTGCAAAGCTGGCCCAGCTGCCTCCCACGTGGAGCAGCCCCCCTTGGAAGACTCCGTAACGGGTGGAGTGGGAGGTTGGGCCATTTAGCAGGAAGTTCTGCACCAGCCCAGCCAGAGGCAGAGCTAGCAATAAGTCATGTGTTTGCCGGTGTCCTCTGTGTGCTCAGCCCACAGAGGCTTCGCGGCCATGTAGCCAAGATGGTCGAAGTTCCTGGAAATGGGATACAGAATTTCTTTTTTCCCAAGAATTAACAATAGCTTATACTTACTGACAAATAAATATATTTACCAGGCTCAGGTACAGACTGATTTCAAAGTTAAATCAGGCAAGGTGAGGGGAGGTCTAGAAGATGAGGTAGAGATGGTGCTGAAAGACTCCATTACATAGCTGGGATGAAATTTCTCCTCTAGCTTTCAGCATCAATGATATATGTTTAATATACTTATATACATTTATGCACTTATAATAACCTATATAGACTGTATATAAGGTCACAATAGTATATATATGATATATAAAATATGCTTATATAGTTACATAATTATATGATTATATATTTAGATAATATATGTAAGTATACTTAAGCATAATTATGTGATATATAAATGTATCTCTATATATATATATTCCTCTTGCCATGACTATGTATCTATGTAGATGTATATTTACATATATATCTATATATACACTCTATAATCTTTATTTGCTCTTGATGTTGTAATGATTCATAGTTCTATCTTAACATTCTTAGTGGCAAAACATTTTTTTTTCCATTCTGATTTGTCCCCTGTTGGTTTCATCCATTCTGTATGTGAACATTTAGCTCAATTTTGGGCAAAAGGAAGCATGCTTGACACACTGGCTATACTTTTTTAGCTGCAGTAACTAAAGAGAGATGACGTTCCTGGCTACATCTGAGTCCTCTGAGAACACCTGTCACTCAATCCTTTTCTTCTTACGTGCTATATTCTCTACTTTATCAATAAGATTTTGACTAAAAGAGAGAAGGGAATCTATTGAAGTT